GAATTTTTAAACGAAAGTTTTACTATATATTATTCTTTCTTGATCAGATCCATAAACTTGATTAGGACATCAAATCAATAATATCAAGATAAATTTAATATTAAAATATTAAATATTTTTGTCATGATATCGATTTAATTTTTATTTTTCATAAATTGAATTATTATTTTTTACAAGCACTTGATCAATCGTCATTACATATTAATTATTGCATGTTATTTATTAATTTTTTAATATAGTATCTATCTTTACAGTCAATTGGGAATAATCGGACAAGTAAAGACAATAATGTGGTTCTCGAAGAATATACCGAAAAAGATGTCGCAGAAAATCAGTATGAATCATCGACAACACGAAAATTTATGCTGTCGGGTATAAAGGTATTATACTTTCAAATATCAATTATTTTTGTTACTTTTAGCTTCTTTTTTGTCCGATACACTTGTTATTTTGATAAGATAAGATTTAATATTTTATATTTTAATAAGATAATACATTTTAATAGGATAGAAATGCATATGAAAGAGTGATAAAAGATCTTGGCGGAGATGTGTCCACGGATGCAAATTTCGATAACAGTGCCACGCATCTTTTGTGCACTAGACTCTCTAGAAATGAAAAAATGCTCGGCAGTATAGCAGCTGGAAAATGGGTTCTGTATTGTACATATTTACGTGATTCCGAGCGAGAAGGCAGATTTCTTGATGTTAGTATATCTGTTAAATGTATTAAGAATGTACCATAAAACTAACACATTGATACATCTCATACTTAAATTGATCTTTTTTGAGCAAGATTGAAAGATATCATTTATCGTAAAAAACATAACTTGCTATCAGTTTATCGTTGCACGATTAAATCTTAATCTGATTGCTATCAGATATGACTGAACATTTTGCAAAAAAGATTCTTATTATTTTAAAAATATTTCTACTATTTAATTAAGATATTAATTAAGATACAGATCAAATTGATTAAAGATAAGAAAGAAAGAACAAGAAGGAAACAAAATATTGATACAATAGTGAAACAATGATTAATGTTGTAAATAGTGAACAATGATTAATAGAATTATTAATAAAATGATGTATAGAATGATGTATAGAATTAGTGTTTTACAAGTGTTATATTTTTCACATGTTTAATAAATTATTTTTATTTCTTTGATAAAATTTTTTTACATAGGCTCAATCATATTATGACTATTACATTTTTATCTTGCTTTGAACTTTTATAGGAGGAAGAGTATGAATGGGGTAATCCAAAAAGCAAAGATAAAATTCCAGAGCCAAATGGCGAAATGGAGACTGCAATCGCGACCGCAGCTTACAAGTGGCGACTAAGATTGCAAAAAGAGCTACATGGACCATTTTCCGATATAGTAGCTTTATTGATGGTTTCTGAGGAGAAATATGATCAATTTAAAAGACTGATTGAAGCCGGCGGCGGTGTAGTCATACAAGCAAGGTGCGTATTGATCTATTTCTGTAAAGAAAAAGAGAAAAAATTCTATTATTATTATTGTAATTCTTTTGATTTGATTGCAGAGCGCCTTATGATACCAGTCCATCTGGACGTAAAATCACACATTGCTTCGTCAACGTGAAACAGGTGAGCAAATTCTTACTTGTTGCATTAGAAATTTTGAAGTATAATGCAATTAAATTAAATTAAAAACTTTTCTTTTTAAAAAATTTATTCAGTTAATTTTATTTTACTTAGATTACATATATACACAATTACAATAACTGATTTCATTTTAATACATAAACATTTGAACAAAAAATGTTTGCATTTATAATTATATGTTTGTATGTGTATTGCTAGTATATGCATAATATGTTTTAAAAACAAGATATTTAATTATTATAAATAGGTAAATCAACCTGTGGATTGGGCTATGCTGGCTAACAAGGGCATCCTTTGCTTCTTACCGCAATATCTCAGTGATTATCTGACGGCAGTAACTCCGCTCAATCCACGGGATTGTGTGCTTCCAGAATTTAAGAAATACTTGACGCTACTGCCCAAGTAATCAGATTAATATTAAAATTATTATACGATATTAAATTTATAAACGCGAATGTATTTCAATGGTTTGAATGCAAGGAATACAATATATGGCGAATTCAAAATCACAATTAATGTTTTACAAGTGACATTTTATCAAATATTTTTAATAAACTATTTTTGTCGAAGTGCTCAAATCGAGATCTCTTATAAAAAATAATCGATTGATAAGAATCATTTATTAGATTTATTTATATGTTTTTCAGTATATTGATATTTTGTACAATTTTATAAAAAGCACCTTTCAAAATCCTTGTCAGGAAATATAGTCAAGTAATACCTGAGTTAATTACCCAATAGATTTATAAGAGTATGATTAATATAATATTAGTAAAATTAATATAAAATCTTTTTCAAATCCTTGTCAAGAAATATAATCAAGTAATACTTGAATTAGCTATTGGATAGATAAAAGCACAATTTACATAAATAATATTAATAAAATTAATATTAAAATTTCCTTTCAAAATTTTTATGAGAAAATATAGCCAAGTAATACTACTCGAGTAATAATACTCGAGTTAGTTATTCGATAGATTTATAAGAATAGAATTAATAATAATATTAGTAATATTAATATAAGGATTAATATTAAAATATATTACTAATTGTATATAATATTAATAAAATTAATATAAAAATTAATCAAGTATATATGTATAGACCGGAATATCGATCAAATAATAGGTAAAATTCGCGGCTATACTGTTAGGCAGAATTTAACATATTTGAATCTCTCTTTTTCATATTTGAATTTGAAACAAATTTAAGAAACATCTCTAGATCTTCATTACTAATTACGTGCCGTACTTAACTTATGATTTTTTAATCAGTTGATATTTACATTCTCATTCACAAAGAAACTCCTTTTTTTTATTATAGCCATTTTCTAATCAATTTGTCAGAAATCGGGCGATACACAGTTCAATGCTTATCGCTATTATATTATATCTTTTTCAAGTTCAGCAAGAACTTCATTACTGGCGATGTGAATACACTTCGTGGATCTATGGGAGATGGCCACGAAGGATTTAATGTGACTTCATAATCGCGCAGAATCGCTATTAATCCCACGGCTGTTTGCAAAATTCCCAGTCGCAGACCTAATGACCAAATAGAATTAATTTGGAGAAAATCGAGGAAATAGGCGGATTCAAATCTTTTCTTTTATATTTACGAATGTATTAAAATTTACTTGTGAATTTTTAACTAATAAACGCTTTCCGAAACAATATTATAATTTTAAAAGATATTTGTGGAAAATTAAATAAATATATATTAATATGTTTTCGTAAAAGCAATAAACGAACAAATTTTATCTTGAATGTTTGATAAATGTGTGATAAATATCGAAAAATGTTAAATATTGTTGTTTTCTTCAATAATTTTTTTTTCATATTAAATCTTTCCCATATTAAATTCGCCTATGTGAATGCAATCAATTTACCTATACAATTTCGTGGACCTTCTCCGAAGGGTAGGAAGGTGCAGGGTACAATTTCATTCTTTCTTTCGTCGCTGAATCGTTCAGGGTCGAAACACATTGGATCGCGGTAGTATCTTGGATCAGAATGAAGGCCACGTAATGCAACGAACACAGGTGTATCTTTTTCGATAGTTATCTTTGTACCAGGAAACTGTAATTTTTGTTACATTATTTTGTATCACAAGGAATTTCCGAGTCGATTTTAAATTGATTAGAAACTCTATCATCCAAATTATTTTATCGTTTTTGGAGAGTAGAGATTATACGGTATAGTCAAATGATGCTAGAAAATTGACAATAATGTCTTCCAACGCTATTTGGCTTATCTGGATAATTTTTGTAATATATAGATTCTCACTGTGTAATCGCTGAGAGGCAATCTATCGAGGATCGGAGCAGGCGGATACAACCTCAGCGTTTCGTTCATCACTTGATGCAGATACTTCATATTTTGAACCGCTTCATATGTCACACCATTCGCTTCCTGGATCTTCTCAAAAATCTCCTCTCTGACACGTTTCTGCAATTCCGGTTGTTTGGCCAATTCGAAGAGAACGCAAATCATAGTGGTAATGCTGGTTTCGCGACCGGCCACGAAAAAAATTGCCGCTTGTGCAAGTAGAGCATCTTCCTCGAACTCTGGAAAAAATAATAATAAGAATAAATCTTTTTTCTAGTAAAAGTTTAATAAATATCAATCTCAGAATGCTCTTTATTTTTGCGATAAGAGCGATAAGAATCAAATACAAATACGAATATAATTAGCTACTTTAAAGAAAAAAATTTGTTCCATAAATTTATTTTTTGTTTATCTTTGTTCCATAAATTTTAATTAGTATTAGTATAGAGCAAGACAATCTATAAATTGCAAATAAAAATTTATTTATAATAAGAATAAAGTAAAATTTAATGATTAAAAATAAATAATTAAAGATTTGAAATATTTAATTATATTTAATTTCAAATATGTTTATTTAATTTTATTTAATTAAATTATTTTAATTTATTTTTTAATTTTATTTAATTTTGTTTATTTTATTAGAATTAAAAAACACTATCTTTGACAATCAGATTTAATGCTAAATATCTATATGATTGAGTACGCACGAAAATTATTATCTGGCTTCTCGTCTTTTAATTGCAAAAGTGAATCAATTAAATCCCCTCGTTTCATTTTTGTGGCGCTTCTGTTATCCATAGAGTTCCAAAAGATCTTGCGAAAGTAATCTGTGTAATCGCCAAGCATTGAAGCACCCACATACTTTCCAATCTTCGGCAAGAAGAATAAGAAGAAGAATTGTATAGATCTTCGGAGGGACGGTGTGAAAGCCTTACGTGCTGTATATAAATGAGAAAATGAAAAAAATATATATATATTAGAACAATGGGAAAGAGCAGAGTGAGTTACATAGCACTTTCACATAATCGTACTTATTTAAATTTATAATTTTATATTTACCGTTGACGTAAAATTCTGGCGGCGGTGTGTCAAAGCAATTCGTTCGAATCCCAAACGCTACGGACGATATTACATCGGTAGTGTACTTGTAGAACGTGTCTTTTATGATAATTGGTACGGCTTTGGATTCTTTCCCTACGTAATCGCGCAGATAGTCCCTCATCTTTTCCCCGGATTCTTGCATCAGTAAAAAGAGATTTTTCAGCTTGCCGCTTGTGAACACCGGTGACATTTTCGCCCTGAACGAGAAGCAACATTTTCTTATAATCGTAACATTTTCTGATCATGAAATCGTTTTATCTCTCCGGTTTAAATATATATTCCTTTCGTATATTTTCCTGCCTTTATTTATATCAACGATATTCTTTGCAAAATTATTCTTGGCAGTCTTTATTTTTTAAATCATCAGCGATTATTATCATTATGATTTATGTAACACAAGTAACATTTTATTTCTTCGGTTCAAATATATTCTTTTTTCTGATTTTTCTTCCGCGTATTTTCTATCTTTATTTTCAATGATATTCTTTGACAATCCGTTTGCGAGATGATCAATCTTTATTCTTTTAAATAAACAGCGATTATTATCATTATGATTTAGGTAACACATGTAACATTTTATTTCTTTGGTTCAAATATATTCTTTTTTCTGATTTTTCTTCCGCGTATTTTCTATCTTTATTTTCAATGATATTCTTTGACAATCCGTTTGCGAGATGACTCAATCTTTATTCTTTTGAACAGCGATTATCATTATTACAAAACTTATTAAATTATATAACATATAGATGCTTACCTTAGGTACTTCCATTCGGGATTATCTATGGTGAAGAGACTCCACTTGCTGACTTTATCAGTACTGCTTCTTGCAGAGAAATGATGATTCGGGAATATGTGAAAGTCCTTAATCATTATTTGCTTGATCAGCTCGGGATTTCTCACAAGCAAAAACGGCTTATGTAAGATGTAAATTCCCAGAACATCATCTTCGTCCGTCCCTTGGTGATGTAGGTCGCCTAAAACTACTCCCGCCGATTTACGCATCAGAATTGCATCTTTAAAGTGACCGAAGAACCAATGTGCGGGCAATGAACGTATGCCGCGTCTCTGCCAATAGGTATGTTTCCATTTCATCCACAAGTAAAGTGTTGCGAAAAGTGAAGAGAGTATCGCGAGCGTATCCAGAAGAGCACATTGGGTTAATATTGCCATTTTAGTGAAGATCACAAGAAATCCTTCTGCAACATCGTATGAAATTCTAATTATATTATAAAATGTTACGTTAAACATAAAATATAAACTTTTTCTATATAAAATTCTACTTAAATATGAGATTATGCAAATTTGATTGTATAAAATACGCTACGTAACACACAAATGTGTATATATAATTTCAATTTGAAAAATTAATTTGAAATAAAATATTTAATATCATCCGTAATTATTCTGTTCCGTAGTTAATCATCCGTTTTCTGTAACAGTATTTTCATATTTGAAAATTACGTCCATTGCTCAAGACATTTCTGATGATCTTAAACATAAATCCTAAAATGATAAAATCCTAAAAATTTAAATTTTATTTATTGCTAATTAAAATTACTATTAATTAGTTTTATTTAAGTTAAAAGTGTTAATTAAGTAAGAGTAATATATTTTATCAATACAATTACTTCACAAAAATTTCACAAAAAGGTAAAAAAGTATGTAAAATTCAGTACATACCTCGTAAAAAAATTACGTGCTGTCTATTTCAGATGCTGTATAAGACTGTAGCAGATAAGCGAGAACGTAGTATACCTATCATTATCGTGACAATTTGCACAGTCATTTATCAGCGGTCAAGATGACTTGTTTTCGTTTAATGCATTAGCTACCATAAACATTAATAAAAATATCGTAGAAGAAAATTCGTGGCAAAAAAAGATTAAGAAATGAACGTGCATCTTTTTATTTCGAGAAATATAAGTGTTGGAAATTTGATCATGAATGAATCTCGAAGTGTAATCAAATTGACCATAATTCTCGAGTATTTTCATATTTGAATTACATCCATTGCTCAAGACATTTCTGACGATCTTAAACATAAATCCTAAAATGATAAAATCCTAAAAATTTTAATTTTATTTATTTATTGCTAATTAAAATTATTAGTTTTATTCAAGTTAAAAGTGTTAATTAAGAGTATTTTATCATCAATACAATTACTTCACAAAAATTTCACAAAAAGGTAAAAAAAGTGGCGTCAAGTATTTTTCAAATTGCCTTAAAAATATATTCAAAAATAAGAGATTTACATATTGTTTAAATCACATCTATATACTGAGAAAAATATTCGAAGTTTTTTTTATCAAAATAGTCGGATTATTCTTTCAAGAAATAACAAACGAATATTCATTTTGATCGGACAAAAAATCTAATCACGTAAATAAATTCATTGGAATATTCAATGAGAAATATCCATTCGTATTTTCTTTTTTTAAATGGATAATCCGATTATACATTTTTTTCGATCATGTGCCTGCACAGGATGAAAGATCATATTATTCTACCTATATTACTATCAATCAAAATTAAATCGCTTTTCGAGATGTGAAAACTATATCTTATATTATTTAATTAATTTTTAATAGAATTTTTAACATATCTAATTAGTATTACAATAATTAGCTGAAAATGAAATCCTTTAATTAAAAGTAAAACTTAAAGTTCATAGTCTCATAATCAATATACTCATTTTTCTACTGAGTTACGTCTATTTTTATTAGTGAAGTAAAGAAATGAATCTATTTAATCTGATTTAAGATCTAGTTAGATAGTATTAGATTATGTTTTCTATCACTGATTAATTATTGTTTGCGTATTTATAATTAGTTTTTATGATGCAACTGCTATCTAGTCACTATACAAAAAAAATAGTAATAAATGACGCTGCCTTTTCTGAAATATATAATCTAGCAATTTTAAGTTAAACAATAGATTCAGATTGATTATCTTATTTCATAAAAAATACATCTAAATATAAATTATTTAAATAACATATAATTAATTTTTATTGAAAAATGAAAAATTATCTAATTATGAGTATTTTAAGAAGCTAGTTAATATTTATTACACACAAAAAGAAAATAAAATGATGTTCTTGAAATAAATTTTAATAGTCAACTGTGTACTAATTAAGCAAATACTACTTTTATTTTTTATATAACTTTGCCATAAATAAATTATCTAATAATGTCAAATGAGAGAAAGAGAGACATTTTAAAGTTAAAATAAATGTGTAAAAATAGATGTAATTTTTTATCACAGTTTTGAATACAATTTAACAATAAAAGTATAAAAAAATATAATTTATAATTAAACAAAAGTTGTTTAATTCTTTTGTAAAATTAAAATATATTAGAAAATTATATAGCTATGTTAGGTATAAAATATGTAGATAGTACGAAAAATCTGTACCGATCAACGAAGCAGTGATGCAGTACGTAAGAAGAGCGACTGCAACGTCAAATCCTAGGTTTCAAGTCCTATTAGATTCCTATTGAGTGATTTTTTTCTAAGCACAATTGAAATTGATAAAATTCTTCAAGAATTGGAAGCAAAAATAAAGAAAAATAACTTTTTTGTTTTATTTGCCAATTGTTATCTAATCTTTTATTTAATTTAGGCTAGAGAGCTACTAATTATTTTTTATATCCAGGTATTAGCAATTTATTTTGTATTATCATTAGGAGAAGTGAGCGTTACGTTATTTCAAATCTAGCTAAAAAAAACTAGACATATACTAGACTATGTGACACAATTTTTTTATGTCATGACTAGACAGTTGCGAGTTTCAATTTCTACTCTAGGGAAGTAGCTGCAAAGATAAGCGATAAATAAGTTTGATGAGTTAATTTCACGGAAACACATTTTTCTGACAAAATAATGTTGAAATCAGAGGAAAAAAATATTGAAATTATCAATTTATATAATATATTTATTAATGCCAGTGATATGTTTACTTTTTTGTGTTTTTCTGTCAACATTATTATGATCAATCATAAAATAAATGCAATACTCTATCTTGGAAGAACAGATAATATAACAATATAATCTCAAGTGTAGTATCTAGGTATCGACATATATTTTTGCCTACTTCTATTGCTAATCACCGAATATTTTATATTTTATTTGAAAGATACTATTATTATGATATTCTAATATAACGAATATTATTTCATTTTTTATCAAATAATTCTACAAATTTACTTGACATAGTTATTGAGATTAATGTAAATAAAATAATTAAATAAAATAAAATATAAAGATATATCAAGCAAATTTTTGCAATAATATTCAATACATTATTTAATTACTTTTAACACACACACACACACACACACACACACACACACACACACACACACACACACACACACACACACACACACACACATATATATATATAATTAATACACATAACATTACATTAATACACATTAATGCACATAACATTAATACACATAAGTTTATTATTTATGGCTTTTGTTTTTACAACTAATATAAGGGTAATTAAATAGAGACAATTCAAAATATTAAAAAACTAAAATTAACTACTTATTATTTAAACATAAAAAGATTAAATTATTGTATAGGTATAATTTAATATGAAAAACTGCTAGTAACATGTTCATTTGATTATTAGGAACAACGAAATTTTGAAATTGCCAATATTAGATGTGTTACGTCCAATGGACTCTATGATTCTTTTTTTTCTAAAATGTATGATTAACCTAATTTTTTATTTCCTTTCTTCCAAGATTTTGAATTGTGTCTTTCAGAGGATAAACGATTTGAAAATTCAACAATTGATGACGAAGAAAATTCTATATTTACTCAAGAAGAACTAAATAAATCACCTAAATTATAAATTATAGAGGAAGCATTAATTCATAATCCACTCGCATCTCGAAAAATAAAAACAAGAAACCAAACAATAATAGAAAAAATAATTATTTAAAAAATTTACAACAGATTTTTCGAAATAAAATTGGAACCACAGGAATGCCTGATTCGATGAATAGAAATGCATCTGCCGAAAGAGAAAAAGAAAAAGAGACCACGCAAGAACAAGAAGAAAACGACGAAGAAGATAACAGCAAAAATGATGCAGAAATTCACGAGGATCATGATTTAAGAAAAATCACCGGGCAAGCTTGTAAAACTAAAAGAGAAGAACGAAGATGGAGATCAAGTAAAGAATGTGAAAGAACTACTCATTGAACTAGGAGACCGTCATTCCTCCGTCATTCCTCCTGGATAAAAAATCAGATCCTGCTCATCCAATATAAATGGAGCTTCTTCCGGGCCGCGGACGAGCATTTTTCATCAAGTGTGTTTTGACTCGAAGCTTTATGTTTCAACATTTGATCTTTGAAAGAACAGCTGTGCCATTCTTCCGAGCCCGTTCATATTCCGTTTATCTCTTTTCTTAATTTCCTTTTTAGGAGAGCTGGACGTAACAGATAGACGCAACTAGGCTTGGCTATTATTTTATTAATTAAAAAAATTAGTTTTATTTAAACTTTTTATTTTATTTTTAAATTGTTTATAATTGGAAAAATCAGAAAAAATTTTTTTAGTACATAAATTATCATTAATTGTATAAATATATTTAATCAAATATCACTAAATTTAATATGTCAATAATATTCTTAATAATAGTCTTTTTATTTTAGATAGTTCTATCTATTTATTGATAACAATTTGTCTTCTCGCTTTTTTCACTCTCTCGCTCGTTTTTTCATTTTTTTTGCTCGTTCTTTTGCTCTTTCATTCGCTTCTTCGCTTCCTTACTTTCGCTCGCTCTTTCATTCTCTCGCTCGCTCACTCTCATTATACGCATGTATGTATG